TCTGGAAGGAGACAGACATAGAAACAGGCACAGAGACAGGTACGGAGGCAGGCACAGAGATAGGCCTAGAGGCGGGCATGGAAGTACACGAGGTACCCATAGGGTCAATGACCTGGAGCAGTTGCAAGTTAGGGTAATTACGCACGAGACCACAGATGGCAGTAATAGTTTGCACCCTAGCACCGCCATTCCATAATTCCCAAGAACCAGAGGCACGGACAAGAGCGGTGTAGTGGCCAGGAGTATGTAGAATATAGGCACAAACGTGCGAACAGTGGTCCGGGTCGCCATCCGAAGGGGCACGCTGCATATCAAGCCGGCGCCTTATCAAAGCAGTCTCCAAAACAGAGACATTGAATCCCCCATGTCGAGTGTAATTACTATCCTGAGGGGGATGCAGAGCCGGGTTATCGCCATATAACTCACGTTCCTGAGCATCAAGATCGRAAGCAATGGCCAAGAAATCAGAGTGAGTATATGGTTCCCGAAGATAGGCTTGTAGGCAGATGTTAGTAGCAGCGAGGCCACACAGATTCGGTGGAGGCCGGTCAGGCGGATTTTCTACAGAATCTCCTACAGTTCCCTTGCCAAGTTCATCCTCAGATGGTCCCTCGCCATCATCCCTCTCGTTTTGTGTTCGCCGCGTTGCAGAAAGGTCTGCAATTGAAGAGCGTTGCAGGCGTGGTAAGGATGCTTGGGGTGGCAAAAGACGGGGACGGGATGTTGGGGAGGGCTGTGGTGGGGAGAATGAACGGGTTCTTCTTCATCCAAGAACTGAGATGGAGGAAAGGGGAGTAAGCTGAGGTTGGGAAGTAGGTCGAAGTCGGCGTCTAGGAYGGCGAAGTAGGCTTTCTGCAGGGGCATAACATGATGACGGAGTGTGTGTGGATGAAGTGGTTTGTGGATTAGGAAGAGGGTTAACGGATGGAGACAAAATCAGGGGAGGTAGGAGTGGTGAAGACAGGGGTGGTAGAGTAGTCAGAAGGTGGGTAACAGACGGCGATAAAACCAAGGGAAATAAAGGTGGTGAAGATGGGGGGGATGAAGTCAGGGGTGGTGAAGTGGCTGAAGCAGAGACAGGGGGGGCAGTCGTAGGTGAGACCCGAAGAGGGGACTCTGCAGGTGGTAATCCAGGCATGGCCACGGATGCCATGGAGGAACGCACCGAGACCAAGGGCGACACAACAGATGCGATGGTCACGGATGCCATGGAGGAACACACCGAGACCAAGGGCGACACAACAGCTGCGGTGGCCACGGATGCCATGGAGGAACACACCGAGACCAAGGGCGACACAGCAGCTGCGGGTCGGGTTGCTCCCGCGGAATCAATCGTAGAAGCAACCAAGGCCGATGAAGAAGAGGCTGCGAACCTAAAAGGGGCAGCCAGGATCACAAACGGCATGGAAGGGGTTACTAAGACTGATGAGGACGCAGGTGTGGCAGACGCAGGTAGTGAAGAAGAGGCTGTGATAGGTGTGACAGGCGCCGATAATGAAGAAGGGGCTGTGACAGGCGTAGTCCGAGGACAGTGTGTAGATACCCGAGAAAGCGGGTGATGAATAGACCATCGAA